AAAAAAAATGTAATTAATATATTTAAGAAAAAAGATGAAGATTAGCTAAGTACAACCAAATATTTGTTTCCATTGATGTTTTATTGGCCCAAATGAGCCAATAAATGATTTCTCATGATTGCTTCAGTTATGACCCTGCAGTTTTTATATTTCATTTGCAAATTATGCAAACAGATGTGCAAGTGCCATATTGCCTCCAAACTGTTGGCAAAATGCTCATCTCCTGCCTTCCACATTACTGCAAATTGGGTATGGCTGGCCTCACAATTGAAAAGCAGTAGAATTTAGAAGCTACCCAAAAGTTCTTGCTGATAAATAAAAGGGACTCCACATACAGGGTCCCAAAGTTGAGTTGGATAATTTAGCATTTCATGCTCAACAGTATTCAGAAGTGCTTTCTTTTTAAAAAAATCATAGACTCATGCCCAAATATTCTTTGGTAGTTCTAAGAATTCCAGGTACTCAGCACAGCATGGCAAGCCCAGCTTGACTTGGATCTTACTGTCCTACTTATTCTTTCTCTCATTACTCTCTCTTGCACACTCTAAGCTGTTGCCCTATTCAATTAATTTTTCTGCTATTACACAAATCCTCATCTCTTTGCTTCTGGAAAATTTTCCCTTTCAGTTCTTAACTTGGAAAATATCTGCCAAAGACTCTAGATCGCATACCCTGGCTCTCACCAGGACAGAAATAAATGACTCTTCATTTGATAATGTCTTTTCTCATAATTTATCTTACATTTAACAGTTATTTGTTATTGATGTTATTTCTTTTTCTCTGTTTCATTCACTAAATTGGAAAAACCCAAAGACCAAAACTTTTGTCACTCATTCATCTTAGTATTGCTAAAGCTTGCTCTGTGAGTAGCATATAGAAAATATGCAATTAATTTTAATTAAAGAACTGAATTAATGAATGGATAGATGATAGTAAAGCTATTTCATTCCAAATCAATCTATACCTGCCTCTTCTAGTGAAGTGACCATTTTCTTATGATGTACTATGCAAAGCGACTAAGAAGGTCCTTCCATTCCCTCTGCTTTCCCTCATTTGTAGGAAGGTATCCTTTGAGACACCTTAGTTAAGAATATAAAAGTCTAAGACTTCAAAGTAAAAATTTAGATAAATCAAAGCACAATCTACTCAATGGCATGAATGTTGCTTCTGTAGTTGTACTGTGGTAAGAAGACACAATGTCCACTGATGTTTTAAAATTCAAAATATGTTGTATATTTTTTAATGTTTTTATTGCTACCTCTTCTCCTTTGAGTTTATGTGATAAAAATATTTAATGACTTCCATTGTTATTGGGCATCATCCTTCAACAAGAATGCCATGCAACCTAGAACATTTCTATTCACTTTTTCTCTGATAGACAATCTACAGGTAAATACAGTTAACAATTATCCTCAATGTATAAGCCAAATTATGGGGCGGGGTTGGTGAAATAAAATACTCCCTTGTTATCCAGAGGACAATTTCATTTGAGTTAATATTTTAGCATGGCTATACCAATGTGAATCTTTGTATCAAAAAAACAAAAGTCAAAGAATGTCAAGGCTAGAAGGTGCTTAAACATTTCAGTGAGACACTTTAACACAGCACCTGCATCCACATTCCATCCTTCCAAGGTATTCAACACCTCTGTACCTTGGTATCCTCTAAAGAACCAGAAATAATATACGCAACTGGTTCATAGAATGGTTTTGCAATTCAATGGGATAATGTGTGTATGAATGTAAAGTATTTTAAAGTCACTCCTGGCAAATAGCAAGCATTTTCTACATTCTATGTTTTTTTTTTCTTTTAAAGAAGGGGTGGAGAGGAATACATCTTCATCATACAGACATAGAATCTAAGGTCATGAGAAATGATGTAAATTACTCAAGTTAACCATGGAATTCATTTAAAATTGTCCATAGATATTTCTAGTATAAAATGTACCTACAAATTTTAAAAGAATGACAATATCTTGGTAATATTAACCCTGAGTTTGAAATATAAGATTAATTGGAAGCCAATTGTAGGCTCTACTGGATAAATATATAGATAGGGTAAATATATAGAAAAGGCAATATAAGAATGTGTTTTCCAAGTGCTCAGTTAGCCTTCAGTTCATAACAGTTCTTCCATCCAATTAAAGAAGAAAAGAAAAATAAAACAGGAAAAAGACAAATCTGAAATTTCAGAGGACAGGTTTGTAAGAAATTTAAATGGGGTTATTGTCAGGTTCTGATACTGTTTTCCTCAACTTTGGTTCAGGCAGTAATACCCTCTCTGGCTTCTTCACAAATACTTACTGCAAGAATCTCAACTTTTTCATTCCAGAGTCCTCACAGGTCAGCAAATCTGGAGCCTTAATGGTTTTCTTATAAGTGTTCCCACACTCTTTGCCTTGGCTCAAATCTCAATATAGTATCATTTATCATAAGTTAACTATTTGACCTTCAAATTTAAAACGGGACCTGGCAATGCAGCCAGACTACAATGGCAAGCAGCACTGAGAACCTTGCTTTTCTCTAAAAGGCTCATTTCCAATGGTGCTTAAATTTCTTGCTAAGCAAGGACAGATTTTCATTTTAATTTTATGGGCATTAAGTATCTTCCCCAGAACAATGAAACAATGGGGTAAATTATTCTAGTTATATTGTGTCCACTTGATATTTCTGTATCTTAAAAAAGAGAAGGCTTTGGGGCTGGGGATGTGGCTCAAGCCGTACGTAGCATGCTTGCCTGGCATGCTCGGGGTGCTGGGTTTGATCCTCAGCATCACATAAAAATAAAATAAAGAAGTTGTGTCCACTGAAAACTAAAAACTAAATATTAAAAAAAAAATTCTCTCTCTCTCTAAAAAAAGAAAAGAAAAGGCCCACCCATTTTCCAAATGCTTGATCAG